TTAGGTGAAAAAAAAAAAAAAAAAAAAAAAAAAAAAACTAATTAATACTTTATTAAAAATTTTAAATTGATATTTAGCTTAAAAATTAATATTGAAACTAAAATCAATAAATTAGTAATAATATTTATTAATATCAATTTAAATTCTATATTATATTATTTTTATATTTATTATTATTTTTTTTTTTTATAATAGAATGGTATTAGATGCACAGTTTTTATTGAAATATTTATCAATTACATATACATCAAACATCATCTATTGCTATTACAACAGCTAAATACTAGCCTATCTACTTTTTATTATCCCAGTGATACTAGTGCCACTCATAAAGTGGACTCATGTATTTTTGGAGGAATCTATCTAGGGGGTGGAAATCCTACCACTAGTTTTAAACCACCTGCCTACCGGTCCATATTTGTATAAGGACAATGGGTACTGTTAACTGTTTCCTAAAGTTGCTTATCACATCACACCTTTTTCGCTCATCTAATCTTGCGTACATGCAGCCCCCAACGTAATGTGTTCCCTAGTGAATTGCTCCGGTTTTGACTGCTGGTTGGCTTTTAACTACCAAATCCAGGGGCTCTTATGGCCAAGTGGGCACAACTCCTTAAAGAATCATCTCTTCCAGGTGGTCCCTGTCACCCTTTATCGAGAATCTGCTTTAATCTCCTGGTAGATACTTCATGCAGATCCGGTTGGCTTAAGCTGCCAAATCTAAGGGCATAAATGCCAAGTAGGGCGCAACTCCTCACATAAAACCGCTGATCAGCCATGCTTTGCAGGAGTGATGTCGATCCAGTACTCTTCTTCAAAGCTTTCTTATTTGACAGTTAACAGGAAAGGAATGTGTTGTGCGGGATTAGATAAGATGAAGTACAGCCCAGTCTGTATATCCAAATAAGAGGTTGTAATTGGTGACTGATAAGGATTAGCTAAGATGGAGTACAGTCCAGTCTGTACATCCAAATAAGTGGTGACAACTTTTCCTTAGACGATCATCGTAGTACCATCTGGACAATCGTCACACCACCGCGCCTTAACGGGAAGATTACAATCTCAACGCCCACTGGATTAGCATGTGAAATGACTTCTTATGAGAAACAGCATATAATTGGTCATGGTACCAGATATCATATTAATCTATTCAATCGCCTTCACATGGAATTGAACTGGTATCTTGTAATCTGACCTGTGGAGCACTAACCACTGTGTTATGGATCCACAGGTCTTTATATTTATTATTATTATTATTATTATTTTTAAGGTGAACAGGCACTTAATGCCATAGTTTTTATTAAATATTGTATTCGAACCATACATTGCAATCTTATATATGCTAATATTACTACTAACTGTAAGTTTAACTATTATCAATTCACCTTACTTTAATCCAGATACCAACTTGTACCACGCGGGTGGGTTCATAACCAGGTTTATAAAGAATAATTTTCACCAAATACATGTTAATTTTCTATGAGTCATCTTGTCAATCACATTGTTTCCAATTTATACAGCTGTACGGCTTTTCGCATATATATATACTTCCTAGTAAATGCTCTGAAAATTGTTCCTATAGTTGGCATATATTATCAAATCTGGGGTTCAGTTGCTGACCAAGTGGATATAACTTCTAAATCTCCCAATAGACACTCCATAGGTTCTTAGTTGGCTTAAGCTGCCAAATCTAGGAGTATAAATGCCAAGCAGGATACAACTCCTATATACTGCTTACTAACCTAGGCATGTTAATATCCTTAACAACGATCCCTCCAAATATCTTACTCTGTATTAATATGTGGTGTTCTATTTCTAACCGGAAATGTTATAAGAAAAAGTGGAAGGGGAGAACTGGAAGTAGTACCTATTGTGATAAATAGAACTCTGTAGAGGTGACCATCTTGACAGAAAAAGACATCAGATATCATGGAGAAATGATTACCAAGCCATTTTACTCAAAAGCAGACATCTCATCACTTTCTTCATCTTTATTCTTTTAGACGATCATCATGATACCAACCAGATAATCGTCACACCATATCACCTTTTCTAGAGATTACAATCTTGACACCTATTAAATTGGTGTATGAACTGGCTTCTTATAAGAAATGGCACATAAATAATTATGGTATCAAATATTATGTTAATTCTATTCAGTCACCTTTACATGGGATTGAACTGGTATCTTGTAATCTGATCTGTAAAGTACTAACCACTACATTATAGACCTACAAGTCTTTTATATTTATTATTACTTAACAAGTATAAATATATTATTAATAATATAATTAACTATTATTTATTATTTGTTATTTGATTTTTTTTCTTTTAAATATTTAAAAATTTATATAATTTATTTGTATTTTTAAATATGTTATAATTTATTTTTATAAAAAAAAACTTTTTTTATTAATTCCTTTATCAATTCAAAAAAAATAAATATTCTTAAAAATATTTTTTATATTTAATAATAAAGTCTATATATTTTTCTTAATATTTTATTTTTTGAAAACTAGTGCATTTTCTATTTATTTACTTTTTCTTCTTTAAAAAACTTTAATAACAAAATAAACAAAACTTTATTCTTTTGATTTATAATAAAAACACTTTATTGGAAAAAAAAAACCTATCAAAAAAATAATTTCCATAAATTATTTTTAAATCTAAAACTTTAAAAAGTAAATTATTAATAAATATATTTCCCAAGTTTCATAAGAATCTTGATATATTATAAGTAAATACTTTAGATTAAGATGAGTAAATAAACTAGTAGAACTTATTCATTCAGATATATAATTTTTTTTTATCAATTATATATATCTATGGTAATACTTTTAAGTATATTAAAATTTTTTTGATTTTTTAAGTAATTTTACCTATTTCAATTTAATATTAAATTTTTTGTTATATTAAAAATTCTGATTAATAATTTGTTGAAATTTTAAACTAGTTGATTAATATATAAAAAAAATATAAACAAAATATATATTTCTTATATATTTCATATCATTCTATATTAAATCTAATAATATAATTAAATATGACAAAAAGTAAAATATTGAGATATCTTTTAATAAAAGTAAATTAAAGTTTTTTTTTTTTCTTTTATATGATTTCTTTTTTTTTTAAGATCAAAAAAGATTTTTATTAAACTAATAATTAATTTAAATAGATTTTATTTATTAATATAAACTTTTTTTTCCCTTTTATTTTTTTTTTATTTTTCAAGAAAATAAAAATTTTTTAATCTATTAGGATTATAAGATTGTATTAAAGTAACAGTTTGAATATAGATTGGCTATAATTTTTTAAAAGAAAAATTTCAAAATCTAAACTTTGAAAAAAAGCAATTTATTATTCCCTATAATTATATTTAAAGAGTCAGGATTTGAAAAGTTTAAAATAGTTATATTATATAATAATAGCTTAATAAATCTATTTTTTTATAATGAAATAGTTAGTGAATAGTTAAATTATATAAGCAATATAATAGTTTTGATATTAAGAATTCAAGAATTATATACAAATCTATAAATGATTTATTAATAGATATTTTGCTATATAGACTTATTTAACTTTAATATAGTATCAATTATATTAATTGTATATTGTATTATTGTTTTTTACAAATGAATTAATAAATACACTAATAGCAATTTGATTAAAAAAAATAATTTATTTTTATTAAGATTATAAATGTAATAATATTAATTAATAAATTCATTACATTTAATTCTTCAAAAAAAAATTATTATTTAATAAAGTAATATAAATTATTTAATAAAATTAAAAAAAAAAATAATAATTCAATAATATCAATATATTACTTGTATTTACAGTATATAGATATATTGAACAAAATATTTTAAATATGATTAATTATTTAATATTATTACCAATTTAAAAAAATTTTTTATTTGTAATGTACTTAGAGAAAAAAAGCAAAAATTCTTGACAACCCTACCAGCCTAAATAGCTTATCTATACAAAAAGATAATGTGGATCCGGTTTAACCCACAACAAATAATATGAAAGTTACACGAACCTGCATGTCACTTGAACCTAAAAACTAAAAGAAACGGAGATTTTAGTTAACATGATCAAATTATTTACATAATGAAATTGAAAATCATTGATTCGAAAGTAAATAGTCTAGGCTAACGTGTTATGTTAAAAAAAACCAATTTAAATAAATTCAAGAATCATTTGATAAAGTTGTAAATAAGTAAAATGATGGTGCAAAAAATCAAGAGACGTGCAAAGACAAGTTATTCGTTATACACCTATATATGAGGAAGACCAGCCCTAGTTGAAGGGAAGTATCATAAACCGATTAGACCGAGATTTACACGAACTTCATGGATCACATCAGCTTGAGATCCATAGGCGGTAAGATTAATATGACATTTTCATTTGTTAATTCTCGCTTAAAGGTTCCAAGATTCTGTGTAAAACGGTCCCGATTTTTGGAATTCAGATTATAATCTACGTCTGCCATAAGAGTTTTAATCGCCTGTAAAGTGCAATGCATCAAAGTTGTAATCTCCAATTTAGATAATATAATAATAATAATAAATGAAAATAACCTTTTGCAAAATTTCCCTTCGTTCAGGCAGTTGATACCGTAACAAATTTTCAATATATTCATTGAAATACTTGAAAGAGATAATGAACATTTTATAGGAAGATAAGTTTTTTATATTTATAAAAAAGGAAGAAAAAAAGAGTGCACTTACATCTTGATTCAATAAAATTAAGCATAGTAATGGGCGAGATAGTGACCATTGGGTTTGCCTATCTTCAAAA